TTTTCTTACTCCACTTCTCTGGAAGAAACCTGTTGTAAAATGACAGAGTCTGTTTTTTAGAAGGTAGTTAATGTTTGGTGTATTGTTTGGGTGCATATTCAGCTTACTTGCGGAGTATCTGTAAGTGCTTAAAGAAAATGTTTTAAGTGTGACAACTTGGGTATCTAGTTTTGAGAACAGTCACCTTTCCTCTTGTTTGGTCAGGAATTGAAGCTGAATGTACTGAGAATTTTGCAATTTCTTCAGCTTTTGCTCACTCAACTACAATTAGAAAGTCAAAGCAGAGCAAGGCTGTGCTTCCCTCTTCTCATACCCTCACTTAAGTGTATATGATACCATAGAAACTGCATCATGGTAGGAAAGGCCATTTAAAAAAAAACAAACAACAAAACAAAACAAAACCAAACAAAAAAACCCCAACCTAAACTCAGATCCTTTAAAAGCTACCATCTGGGGGATGTGGTATATGGAATCATTAAACCCTGTAGGTAAGGGAATGTGTAGAATTAGGTGAAGAAGAGTCTTAAGTAGAAATCGGGTGCTTTACCCCTTCATGAATACATAACTACAAATATTTTGTGAAAGCAGTATTTGATGGTGAAATTGGATGTTGGGATTTCCTTGCCCTGCTGTGACAGATGGTCTTTCAACTGTAAGTATTTAGACCAGTACATGGTGCACCAGTCAGTGGTTAAAGCAGCTCAGTCTGGGACAAAAAATATGTAGCCACACACTTTTTAATGGTTTGATGTATTCACAATTGTAGACTTAAATAGGTTACTAATTAAGGTATTTTCTCTGATTAATCTGTGGTTGTGGTTTGGTTTTTTTTTAAGGTGTGCAAACAGATTTGGCTAGGCCTGTTTGATGATAGATCATCAGCAATTCCAGACTTCAGGGATCCACAGAAAGTAAAGGAATTTCTACAGGAAAAATATGAAAAGAAAAGATGGTAAGATAGCTTTACAACTATAAAGATTGCTTCTGTGACAAGAAGTGAGGATGGACTGTTATGCTTGCATTCTTGAGTGTGCCTTCTTGTGTGCTCTTTGGACTGGATTGCACAGCTCTGTAAAGTAAAATAATTTCTGGACTTTATTCAGGGCTCCTACAGGAAGCAGAGAAGACAAACTATTTAAAGCAGTTTCTCAATGTGTGGTTCATATTGATGGAAGAGAAATGGCTTGAGGGAATGTCAACAACAGTGTAAAGTAAGGGATTTGCAGGCTTTTGTTAGGAGGTGGAAGACGTGTGGTTTGTATTTAAGTGCTATAAAATATTGATGTTTTGGAGTTCTAGTCCATTAAAAAAAATCTGGCATATTGAGATAATATGTATTGCAAGCTACTGATGGAATTTGTTGCAGGGGCGGTGGTTAAAATAGCAAAGCAGACGTCTACTGGTTCTCATATGAGTCTTATGAATGTTGAGCAGAACTTTTCATATTAAACTTGTAAAAACTATTGCTCTTTTCAAATGTAGGTATGTTCCTCCAGAGCAAGCAAAGGTGGTGGCATCAGTCCATGCATCCATATCGGGGTCTTCTGCTAGTAGTACAAGCAGCACACCTGAGGTGAAGCCACTCAAATCTCTCTTGGGAGAAGCTGCGCCCACACTGCACTTAAATAAGGGCACACCTAGCCAAGTGAGTAATGACAGAACTGAGGAGCACAGGACTGTTCAGCAGTACTTTTTCTCTTTTAGTGGCACAAGAATTCTTGCAAGAGTAACTATTACCTCATGTGATCGCTGAAGACAACTTTGGCTTATGTATTTTCTTGAAGTATTACGAGTGTTTGCAGATCTGTTCTAAATTAAGCTTGTTTCTATTGACCAAATTGGGGGGGTTTAGTTATTTTCAGTAAGCTGAATTTTTCAGTGATATTGACAAATTTAATTATGATTGTCTTTTGCTTAAATACCTGTAAAGTTTGAATCTAATGTGATATATTTTCATGCTTTATTTTATTTGAAAACAATACAGTTAACCATGAGATTAGTAGTGAACATGTGGATGGAAAGCATGCATGCTCATTGTAACTTAGCAAGTGGCTTTCAGGGGCTGTCTGTATGCTGTTATGTAAAACCAAACAACACTATGTACTTAGATTTTGGAGGGAGGACAGTTTTTTTTGAAAAACTGTTTTACCTTTAGGATACAAGCAACTCTTGAATGGACCTCTTAAGATTCAAACAATAGAAACGGCTGGCTTGCAGCCTTACTATGAAATTCTTCAATTTTGCTCTCCCTATACTGAATTCTGAAGACTTTCAGAATGCAGTGAACAGTGTTTGCAGTTTTAAATACATAAGTTTGAAGTTGCTTATATGCTGCTGCTTTATTCTTCTAGGCCCTGTTAATCCATGGAAATCTGCTGCAGAGTTCTTCTAAAAGCCACCGTAGTAGGATAAATAGTGCTCATAGGAGGAGGGCCTCTGCTGTATATATCATCTTAAACTTCTGGAATAAATGACTTGTTAAGGAAATAGGCTTAGTCTATCCTAGTATTTTGCAAAAGTCATTTTGGTAAAATACCAACTTGTTTATATTAGCTGATTGAAGTGTTGTTTGTAGTCTCCTGTTGTAGTTCGATCTCAAGGACAGCAGCAACAAGAAAAGAAACAGTTTGACCTCCTCGGTGACCTTGGCTCAGATATCTTTGCTGCTGCTCCTCCTCAGTCAACTGCTACAGCAAACTTTGCTAATTTTGCACACTTCAACAGTCATACAGGTAAATATTCTGAGCAGTGTATCCCTTTTAAAAGTATAACATGCAGTTTTAATTTTTTATGACTTTAGACTAAACTTCTTCATAAGGTATATGTAACTTCTGTGCCTTGAATGTTGTATTGCTCCAGGTTTCCTTCAGATCTTTGTAAAGAAAGATTGAAGACATAAAGGCTGATAATCCTCCTTTTTGAAGTGGGAGTTGCTATAGCTATTTTCTAGTATATGTGATTAGACTATTTCTGCCTACTGCTAGAAATTTGAAGTCTTTGGGGGAGAGAAGAAGAGGATGAGTAATGATGTAGGGAGAAGCTGATCTTAGACCTTCAATTTTCTTTCAGAAAAATATTAGGAAGAGCATTCATGGAAAGAAAGTAGATGTAGAGACTTTCAGGGAGTTCAATCAAATGCATTGACAATAACTGACAGTTTGTTAAAAGAAAAACAGAGGCTTCCTCAGTTTAAAGAATGACCTCCTCTTTTGTGTGTATGTCTACTTAAAAACTGAATACTAACTGTGTGGGTAGTGTTCTGTAGTTTCAGGAAGAATAAACAAGCTTTGAGCATTTGTATTGACTCAGGATGGGGGTAGGCCTTGAATTCTTAAAGAATGACTTCAGTAAAACATTTGAGCCCTCAGGGTTTATTTTCATCGGAAGATCTTGAACCATAGAAGTCTATCCCAAATAAAAAGTTGATTCTGTGGTCACTGAAGTATGTTGTTGCTAACTTGCATTGTAATTGTGGGAAAGTACCTTTGCGTGCCTTGTCTGAATGGGCTTTTCATCTAGTTTTTCTGAGAGAAACTGTGATGCTGCTAAGCCAACAAGAATAAGATGTTTCTTGCAAGCTAGTCCAGAAGTTGTTAACAGTTGGGAGGAGGTGTGATGGAGGAACTGAAAAAAGTATCAAGGCTTTCTCAAAGTTAACTTTGAAAAAAAACCTCCACCATGTTGTGAAATAATTGGCTGAATTCAGTAATTCAGAATAAGAATTGGAGTGGCAGTTTATTTTGTAAAATCCTTAACATAAGGCTTCATGTTAATCATCTTTTTGGAGGTATATTTAACTGGGATAACTTGTGCTGACTGGCCAATGTTGTATAGTGTTACTGAAGAGGCTGTAGGTGTTTAATTCTTACTAATGACTTATTCTTTCCAAACTTGTTGCTGAATGATTCTATATTTATATGCACTTAATTACTCTTTGTGGGTTTCAGGAGATGAAGATTCCATTAAAACAGTATTTCAATACTGTGTTCCAAATCTAGGTAAAATTCCAGTGCATTTCTGCTGGGTAATTTTTAAAAGGATAAAAAGCAGTATGAACAGTCCAGGATAAATGTAATCTTATGAAAGAGTCTCTTAATTTCTAGTTTTAAAAAGTGCTGAAAATCAAAATTGAGAGGAATATTTAGCTGTACTGACTAGTTTTCTGTTTCCATAATTAACCATTGTGGTCATTCCCATGACCTTTCTGTAAGTTTTAGATCCCAAAACAGCTTCAGAGCTGGTAAATCAGTTTCTAAAAGACAGAAATCTAATTCTCTGCATGTGATAGCTGAATGTGTATTGCAGACTGGTTTATCTGAAGGTGTTTTCTGGTTTGTTAGGGTAAAATACTTGTAAGGCTTGTTCTCTGTGCAGTAATCACAGGGTAGTGTTAACTGAAACTAATAGTGAAATGTTACAGACTCCTCCCTTTGGAACACAAGGAGGGTTGATCAGTCTGCCAGTTTTGGCAAAAATGAGTTTTAAATGCTCATTTAAGGAGCCGTATAAACATGTAATTTTTGTTAGTAATCACACACTAAGTGCACAGAACTTGCACTTAGTCCAGCACTACTTTCTTGAAGTTTATGGTCTGGTGGTGTTGTTTTAGGGCTTGGTTTTAGCTATGCCTACAGGGCATGGACTTTTCTCTTTCCTTTCGTGTACACTGTGGTTAGCTAAAGAAATTGCTGAAGAGCACCAGCAAATTTAAGGTCTTCCTGTGTAAGTTACTTTTTCTGCAATTAAGGCACAACTGAGTGCAGCAGCTGATAGGAAAATATTAGACTTGTGCTGTGATCTGTAAACTGTAGATATAAAGCTTGAAAACTATGCAGGAAGTGCAACTTTTGATATGTTCCTTTTTTGAGTTTTCTAATGTACTAAGCTGGTTCAAGACGTTGTTGCATGTTGCAGGGGAAACATGCTGACCTTAGGTTGACTGCATTTAATTTACAAAGTTCTGTAAAATGATGAGACTTTGAAGATGATGGTAGGTAACTGTTCTGTCTGTAGTTTCCAGACTGATAATAGTGACAAAAAAGATAAAACTTTGGCATGTAGACTTCCTATAAACTAAGTGAATAGAAGATCTGCACAAAAGATTTTTAAAAAGGCACAGTGACACAGCACAACTGTAATCATGAGGAACAAGGGAGAAGGTGTTTTACCATGAAGAAATGAAATAGTATGACGTAGTTATTGTCTTGTAGAGAATTATTTTCAATTTTATAATTAAGTATGTGGGCTTTATTTTAGCTTTTTTGGTTTTGCAATGTTTCATGCTTTTATTCCGCACTAGGTAGTGCAAACCTCACAGAAGAAACTATGCAAAGATTGTAGGGGCAGCTTGCATTGCTGTGACTGATGCTGCCATACTCGAGCTAGCTTTAGCCAGCTAGCTTTTTGTACTGCCTCGTTGATCTGCAGTCACAACAGTAGTTGTAAATCTATGCCAATCTGCAATCCACTAACTTAGGGTTGTTCTTGAGTTTTTGCATGGAGAACTGAATTTTGGAATTGCCAGTCCACCCCTAAAAGTATGATCTACCTACTGTTCAGGTACAGGAAAGTACAAGTCTTGCCTGCTCTTTACCTTTGTGCCGCTTTTACATAGGTTTAAACTTTACCACATAAAATAAAGCAAGATTAACATCTGAATGCTCTAGAAGAGTCTTTACAGCTTCGCTGTTTTAGCATGGACCCACTTGCAAATTGTATTGTGTCAGCTGATGTAATAAAATATTTAAAAGTGGCCTTGTAATATAATATGGTTTTAATCTAGACCCAGAAGGTATTTCATTTAAGATTCTCAATGTATTATTCTGTTTGTGTGAGTGGTTAAAATGAAAAATTTTGTCACAATTCTAGGAGTGAAATTTATGTACTTAATCCTATTTGGTCAACTAAACATCAGTCTCCAAGTAGCCTCTATCCGATTGATGCATCAGGATGAAAGCATCACTTTCACAAGGTGCAATTGACTTCTTAATCTGTTCCTCTTTAAAAGCTATTAGAAACAAAACAAACAGGAAAAACTGTGGAATTTGCAGCTGAAGTCTGTGGAATGCTGTTTGAACCAATACGAATGGTATAATAATAGAACTGTTTTTCCTCTGTGACCACTCTTTCTCCTTGCACACTTTAAAGGTGAAAATTTTAGGACAGAGCTTACCCAAGACCTTGCTTTTTCTTTGTGTATGTGTATGGTGGTGGGTTTTTTCCCCCTTGCTTGTTAATCTCATGCTGTGGTGGGTTGACCTTGGCTGGCTGTCAGGTGCCCACCAAGCTGCTGTCTTACACTGCCTCCTCAGCAGGATTGGGGGAGAAAATATGGTAAAAAAAGCTTCTGAATCAAGATAGGGACAGGGAGATCACTTGCCAGTTAACTATCATGGGCAAAACACTCAACTTGAGAAAGATTAACTTGATTTATTGTCAATTAATGATAAGAGTAGGATAGTGAGAAATAAAAACAAAACCACCTTCACCCTTTCTTTCCAGGCCCAGTTTCACTCCTGGCTCTTCTACCTCCTCTCCCTGAGTGGCGCAGGGGATTGGGGAGTACAGGTTGCAGTTGGTTCATAACACTTTGTCCCTGCCATTCCTTCCTCCTCCTGCTGTTCCCCAGCTCCACTGTGGGATCGCTCTGCCCAATGGGATACAGTTCTTTGCAAACTTCTTTGACGTGGGCCCTTTCTCTGTGCTACAGTTCTTCAAGAATTGCTCCAGCATGGGTCCTTTCCATGGGGTGCAGGCCTTCAGGCATGGACTGCTCCAACATGGGCCCCCCGCAGGTCACAGCTACTGCCAGCAAACCTGCTCCTGTGTGGGCTCCTCTCCGTTGGCACAGCTCCTGCCAGGAGCCTGCTCCAGCCTGGGCTTTACAGAGGCTTCAGCTTCCTTCAGGGCATCTCTACCTGCTGTGGTGTGGGGTCCTCTGCAGGCTGCAGCGTGGCGTGGATGTCTGTTGCACTGTGGTCTTCCATGGGCTGCAGGGGAACAGCTGTCTTCGCAATGGTCTTATCAGGCTGCATGGGAATCTCTGCTCCAGTACCTGGTGCACCTCTTTCCCCTCCCTATTCACTGATCCTGGTGTCTGCAGGGTTATTTCTCTCATTTCTCTCACTCCTCCCTCTTAGATGCTGCATAGTGTTTCTTACCCTTTCTTAGATGTTACTGTAGAGGTGCTGCCAGCATTGCTGATGGGCTCAGCTTTGGGCAGCAGCAGGTCTAGTTTGGAGCCAGCTGAAACTGTCAGTCAGAAATGGGGGCAGCTTCTGATCTCTTCTCACAGGGGCCACCCCTGCAGCCCCCCACTACAGGTATGGTGCTGTGTAAACCCAGTATGCACGCACGCTTCTAATAAAAAGTGGTATCAAGTAGAGCCAAACCTCACCCTTTCTACCAGCATCCCCTGTGAAGGGATATACTTGCACTTCAATTTATATTATCAGTGTTGTGGAATACAGTGGTTTGTATACAAAGTCCTTTTAGTTTATAAATCTGTAGTACAGAAGCTTTTTTTAATAGAAATTAAATTAAATAATGGAACTTTTTATTAGCATTATCTGGCTATTAAGTAACAGTACTTAAACAATCAGCAATTTATTGGTTTTGTATATACTTAATCTGCAGAATCCCTCCAGGATTTGCTTTGCATTTGATTAAAAACATTTTTTGCTCTTACTCCTTGCTTATAACAGTGTTTAAGACTTTCTGTGGAGCTTATCAGTTGGGCTCACAATTCCTGTTGAAACTATAGATGCTTAAATGTCCAGTTGTTTGAAATTAGATGAGTGTTAACTTTATTTTCTCCTATAGTATGGCATTAAAGGAAGGCAAAAACCAAAATTCTATATGAAATTTCCTTGGATTTTATTTTGTGGATACACTTTATGAATGCTATCTTCTTGACATTGGTATTGATTTTCCATATTTCTGTACTAATTTAGGGTTTTTGGAAAATTCGTTTTTTAAAAAGAAATTATTTTATAAACATAGCTGAATCTATTCAAGCTGTGCCAAACTAAATTCACCCAAGGAAGAAGCACTTTGTATATGAGGAATTCAAATTGTCAGTATGTTACAAGAATACTTTCTAACTTCTATTCCCAAAGAAATGTTCAGTTCGTCCACAAATTCTAGGTTGGGAAGCCAGCATTTAGAATGATACCTGGTTTGGGTTCTACAGGTACATCTGGTATTCTGTACATTTTGGATCTTTTTCCCTGAGAAGCCACCACTGCAAACACTTTAGGGTTAAGCTGAGCTGGACTTTACCATGTCATGCAGTTGTGAGTAGCAGCATGTGTGAGGAGGAGAGAAGTAGTATTAACTGGTACAGCTCTGTGAAGGTGATTTGTGAACGCTTATTCAAAGACAACTTTTAGTTGTAGAATGATGTATAATTTCTTCATGTAAAAAGAAGTTACAAGGTAGGACATAACCCTTGGAGGCTGTCATGACCATGAATTCAGTTAATACATCTGTTTTTGTGTTTATTTCCCATATCCATTAACGTGTTTTGTTCCTTTGCAATTTACAGCGCAGAACTCTGCAAATGCAGGTTTTGCAAACTTTGATGCATTTGGACAGTCTAGTGGCTCGAGTAATTTTGGAGGTTTCCCCACAGCAAGTCAGTCTTCTTTTCAGCCCCAAAATACAGGTAGAACTCCTAGCACTTTTGATTAATACTTAATTGAAATAATCCTTACCTCTGTGTTGGAAGGTACTTGAGTTTATTTCTTGCATCTGCCTGCTTTAATGCAATCAAGCCATCTGAAGCTCTGGGGAAACTCAAAATGAATTCCTCCTGTTTGGTGTTGATTTTTTTTTCTTTCCTAATGCTACTCAGAAGTCTGATTTATGGCACTATGTGTTTGTTAGCTCTACACCTGAAATAACTGGAAAGAGTAAATGATACTGGTTTTGAAAAATACTGAATTGACTCTTGTAAGAGAAGTGTTTCAGTAGACCCAAAAGCACATCACAGTACCAAAAAAAGTGTGTGTCTATGCATAGGTGTAACGTATACACACACTTCACTATGTTTAACTTCATGTGTAGAGCCTATTGCTAAGATTTATTTTGCTTTCCTTTAATTTGATCATGCTTTAGAACTGCTTGAGCTTACACTTGCTGTTTGCCTAGATCTTTTGGCTGACTGACTTTTCTTTTCCTTTTTTTTTTCTTTTGAGTGTGGTGTTGTTTTAAACTTTTTTTCAAATTTTCTTTCTCCCTTCTTATGTTAACTTTAACCCACACACAATTTCGGGCTGTCCAGCGTTCAGAACGCTTTCATCTAGCTGCAGTTTTGGTGAATTTACTTCAGCTTTTCCTCTCCAGGCTGTACACAGTAAGTTCCACGCAGTGGAAAACTCAGCTTGCTTCATTTTATGCCGTTGTAGTATAGCATTTTCATTGCTACTGTTGCATATGTTTTGTCTTTCTTACTTTGCTATTAGAAAGTTGTGTGTTCTGTAGTATGAGGGAATCCCCAACAATCTGTTATAAAATGTGATACACTTAATGGAACAACTCATTTAAATTTATGTATATGACCTGCCTAGATTAAATTGTCTGGACACTGAAGGATGGAATCCCATGGTTTCATATTTGAACTGAAGTTCAGTTGTATGGACCTAAGTCAGATTTTAGAAGTTGATTTATGTATCTCTGATGTCAGTGGAGACTTGGTATTGAGATGGCTGTGTTGTATCTTCTCCTTCACCTCTTTCCTGATTGGATGTAGTCTAAAATCTGAGAACAGAGAACCAAACTATCTCACTAAACCTTGGCATGAAATCATACTACTTTTGGACTTCTAGGCACTGTTTTTTACTTATAACGATGACTGACATCTGAAATGGTTAAACATTGTACCATTAAGTAAATGCAAATAGTAGCTATTCGTTAGACACGTATGACAGGAAAATGAAGCTTCTGTATTTTGAATATTAAAGATTCAGACAAATATTTATTTTTCTAGCAAAACATTATTTTTGAAATTACTTCAGCAGATAATAAATAGTATATATTTTTTTCAAGGTCAAATTATGGCTGTGATTTAAGCTGTTGAAGTTCAGGGGGTTTTTATCCCTGATCTGCAGGCTGAAAAATAAATAAATAAATTTTTCCTGATGATCCAATGTAACTTTGAAAGAAGTGGGAAAGGTTCTTAAATGTGTGGGATGGCGTGGGAGAACATGTTGCCTCACATAACCACAAAGAGGTGGGATTATTGTGCCATCAGTTACAGTTGGAGAGACTTTCTCTAGCTTTGGAGTGTTGATCGTATTTAACTTATTTGTTACAGGTGGAAGTGCTGGATCAGTGAATGCTAACTTTGCTCACTTTGATAACTTCCCCAAATCCTCCAGTGCTGATTTTGGAGCCTTCAGTGCTTCTCAGAGCAACACAACAGCAGCTGTAGCCAACAAAGCTGCAGTGAATAAACCGAATCTCCAGTCAGCTGACAAATATGCAGCTCTTGCTAATTTAGATAACATCTTCAGCGCAGGGCAAGGTATTAAACTTTATTCTTTGATGTGTTTATTCTACATGTGTACACTTACCACAAGGATGGCTGTGCTTGTCAAGATAGGACGTTTTGAAATATGGATACTTTAAGTTATCTATAGAATTTCACATCAGCGTACCCTTAATGTGCAAAATGCAAATTTTGAGACTAACACCACTGCAAAAGGGTGTCATCAGAATGCTGCTTTTTGGAAACCTAATTCCTGTCAAGATGAACAAACTCTTAAGTGGAAATGTTTAAATAATTATTACTACAATGATGAAAATATACAGATTTTTGTCACACTTGTGATGAAACCTATAGTGAAGGTTCTTGAATGCTGAGCTACAGTTGTTGCAGAGAACTGCTAGAGTAGCTTTCCTACCTCTCTGCCACAAAAAAATTTGCTTTATTTTTTTTATAAACTAGTAGCAGTGATACGTGACTAAGGTAAGGAGAAAAAACCCTAGTTATTCTGTAACCTTTTTGTCTCATGGTGCATAAAACCTTGTGCTGGTTTGTAATGCAGAGCTTTGTTCTGAAATGAATTATTCGAGGGTGTGTGTCTTGTTAAATTTTCTAGGTGAAGATGACTGTAGTATTGAGTCATTATTTTCCAGGTCTTTGGAGCTGCAGAGTATAGAAGCGTGACACTTTGCTAGTAGCTAATGGCTTCTTAAACATTTTTTCCTGTATGCTCTAATGCGTATTTAATTTTTAAGTCTGAAACTTAAACTGTCCATGAATTTTGATTTATTTATCAGCATTGGCAGGGCAGAAAGTGAAACAGTCTTCATCACTTTTAATCTGGTTTCTTTCTTTCTAGGTGGTAGTGAGCAAGGAAGCGGCTTCAGTACAGTAGTGTCAGCATCTGCAGGTCCTGCATTATCAGCCCCAAATCAGTCAAGTACATCTTCAGACAAGTATGCGGCTCTAGCAGAATTAGACAGCGTGTTCAGCTCCACAGCAACCTCTAGTAATGCGTATACTTCCACCAGTAACGTTAGCAGGTACTTTGTTAAAGTGGCTGACTTTCTAGCTCAAAGTTGTTTCTGAAATCTTGTTTTATTTCTTATCTGAATGGGGAAATGTTTACTACTGAAACGGCATCCTTTGTTTTAAATAACAGCAGTGCTCTCTGATAGGATATTATAAGATAAAATTAAGACTACTCTCTGAGCAGAATATTCTCTGCACCTTTGTAGTTATTACATGCTAAACCTGTTAGATGGTAACACTTTCATGTACAGCATAGTTGCATGCATACTGAAAATCAGCATCATCCCTGGCAAAAAAATTATTCAGGTATTTATAATGTAGACAGTGCCAACCACTTATTTTTTTAGATCATTGAAGTAATAAATATGAAATGCCTGTTATAGCTCTGCTTGGTATTGCAAGTCCCCCATAAGCTTCTGCTTTGCAACCTTTATGCTTATGACATCTGTCCAATGTTCTTTCTCCTGCTGTTGGTGGATATGAGTTTTCATTGCTTAGAGCTAGTTATAGGCTCTGACCCTGACATCCAGGGCTCAGTTCCTGGCATCAGTGAATTATATTGCAGTTTGCAAACCGCACATAAGTGTTCCTTTTCTATTCCTTTAAATGCCAGCAATAATTGTAAGTTGTATTTGATTTGTTAAACAAGCAATTCTGACTTCACTGAATGTATGAATTATTTTCAGCAATGCTTTTGGAACAGTACCCGTGGCTGCTACTGCACAGACACAGCCTGCATCTTCGAGTGTGCCTGCTCCATTTGGAGGTATATAAATGTTACTAACACCTGTTGTGGACTGTAAGCTTACTGATTTTTAGTTGGTAGTGCTATACTTGACACAAGTGATATTGAAGTTACTAAAGGATGCCAAAAAAGTACTGTTGTTTTGATGCATTTCAAGTTAAGCATTTTATTAGCAATTCCTGACTTCTTTCATGTAATTTTAGATATTTATATGTATCCTTATAAAAGCTGTGTAAACTTAATGTGAGTTAAATTAGCTATTTTTAAAAGACTTTATTTAACCAAATGTTTTTAATATTTCAGCAACACCTTCCACAAATCCATTTGTAGCTGCCCCTGTTGCCCCAGTGGCACCTTCAACGAATCCATTCCAGACCAATAGCCGAGGAGCAACAGGTTAGGAAAAAACCACTAAGTGTTTGAGAAACTTGAATTTCAAGACTTAAATTAATTTTTTTTTTCATAGCTGTGTAATTTGTTTCCTAAGGATTTTCTGTATTTCTGTTTCTAGTCATTTGACGTGTTGTGTGTTTGTTCAATGTAGAGTACAATGTTTAAAAATAGGCTGCAGAAATCGACTTTTTTTAGATAAGTAATGATTTTTTGGGGCTAAGGGCATTGTTTTCCTGTTTCTAGCCTAATCCTAGGATTTCAAATGGTGGCCTTGAAAAATGATCTGTTTAAGATCTACTACGACCTAAGCTATTTGTAGTCTGGGTGTTACCAGTTGGGTACCTTCCCAGCCTACAACCTTGGCTTTGAAGCATGCTTCATAGCAGGTTGCCTTGAAATCAGGGATCTCGAACGCCCTGCTGCTAAGCTGATACACTTGCTTTTTCAATTTCTTTCTTTATTTTGAAATCCTGAAAGTCCTCAAAACCAAAGAGCTGGAGCTAGAACCAGGGAAGACAAGGCTTTTGGTCTGTTAGCTGCTCACCAGTCTACTTATTCAGTACATCGGTGGTATCCTTTATTTTTTTTTTGTTTTAGTAAAGCGTGTGTCTAAAGATTATCTTTACACTCATGAATTATGTTGATTTTTCTGGAAGAGGATTCTGTAGAATTGTAATTCCATAGACAAAAACTTAATCACTTTATGAAAAAGCAAGCTTGTACTTTTAAAACACTGAACTTGGATTTAGATAACTGCTAGATTATGCTAGTTTTCCTCTCCAAAGGCACTGCTAAATTTTGGCACCTTTCTCTATTAACTGGACTTCTGGAGATTTAAATCTGCTGATGTATGCATTTTAACATGGAGTTATGCTTTGCTCAGTTTTAGGTAGGTTGAATTAAACTGATCAGGATCGGTTAAAATTCAATTGATCAAATTCATGTACTCTGCTAAAATGAGTTCTATGTTCAGTCCGTTTTGAGATACTATGCAGTTAAACTTGTTCAGCTATTTAATATCCAAAATGTCTTTTTCCTTATTTTAATCTCATTCCTAACTGTGCTGTTTTGTGTCATCATCAAGAACTTGTAGCCTCTTTAGATAAATTTGCTTGAATATGGCAACTCTATACTTCCACCTTCTAAACTTCTCCTCTTGGCTTGCAGAGGGTCCAGCCCTTTGACAGCTATACTGATGTTATGTACTAGATGACAGAGATAATGACTATAAGTAAAGATAATACTGTACCCCTTTCGGTGTAAGGTGTAAACTTGCAGCTTGTCCTTTTACACTAAGCTTTCTTTCTGCATGAACTTTGCTATTTATTACACGGGAGATCTGTTTTGTAGCATTTCTTTCTAATGGTTTTCTTAGCATGACCAGCAATAGATTAAGCTATGGATAAGTTTCTTGGTACGTATATGTGTGTATATTTCTTTCTCTATATATTTCTTTTTCTATATATAAACTAAGAAATGACTGTTCAAGAGTGTATAAATGATTTGACATTGTCTGGTCTCTTTGTGGCTTCCATAAGGCCTCTCGGGAGCAATGCACTCTCACATATTTCCTCAGGCTCATTTTGGTAGGTGGCCACATTTGGTATCAAGTTTCTTGTGGCTAATTGTTCTTGCTTGTACAAAGCTTATTGATAGCTATCTGGTTCTCTGCACGTGGAATTTCAGAAGACTTTCAGTTTTTTAAAATAGAGTGGGTGTGGGTATTTGGCAACTGGGCAAAGAGAGAGAAGAGCATAATACACAACCTATTAAGCAACTAAAACAAAACCATTATTGATACCTTCACAGTCACAATATGATGCTAACAAGTTGAGTGACTCTTGAAGCTTCTGCCAACAGTAGGTTGATGCCTTTTGGGATATTCCAAGTCACTGCTCATTTTGTTGTGCTTTTGCTGTTTTAGCAAGTTTTCCTGTTGAATACCTTCTCTGCTAACTGTAACTTGAGAACAATGTTAGTACATTAGTTTTGCATGTACTTTGTCAACAGTTTATGTACGTATAATGTCTTGCCCTTGAATACTATTGGGGTAAATGTTTCAACTGATATTAAGCTATATTCATTAAATGCATTAATTTTTTTTAAACAGTTGAGCTTGCCTAAAATCTAGCTTGTAACATTTCAAAAGAAGAGTTCTGTCTGATGTTTAACTAGAGTGAAATGCCTGGTCTATATGCTTCTCCTTTAAAGAATAACTCCCAAAAGACTGAATAATGGTTTTGTTACTACATTGTTGCACTTCATGTGCTCCTGTTTATTTGCTGAAGGTGTGTGGAATTGATATGAGCTGTGTGTTCATTACTTGAAATGTACAGCAGAGAATCAGATGAAAAGTTTTGGGTGGTTGTTTTTTGTTTCTCTTTAAGTCTTACCTCAATGGTAAGAGCATTTGCAATAGGAACTTTGTGTGCAAATAATGTGCATGGTGAGAATTTCCTTTAAAATGACGTTAAGGATGGGATGAGGAGAGAGGGGATGCATGTATCCCTTGCAGTTTTTTTGTTTTCCACTTGTAACTTCATGTAATGCAGCTTGAAGTAGGAGAATCCTTTAATGCTGTTCTCAGAAGGGGAAAGAGAGGCCTATGCTACCTGAAAGTGCTTGCTTCTGATGGGTACAGTCTTTTTATCAGAAAAACTCTAGGGGAAGTATATGATAATACAAAGAATGTAAAAAAACCTATTTCCTTTTAAGAAAGTATATCTGAATATGCTGGATCTAGTAAATTTTAAATGATTACATTAATTTTTAAAGTGCAAAAGTAAATTATGCACCTAGCTGATGGTGATCCAAGCTAACAAATCAGTTCAGTGGCTGTAGAAGTTGAACCTAACTTGTGTATGGTCACTGAGGCATTAGGAGACTTTTCTTACTGTGGAATTATAGTAATTAATCTCATGGAAAAAAGTGATTTTTTTTTTCCCAATAATTGAATGGAGGTTTTTTGCCTACCAGCAGCAACATTTGGTACTGCATCCATGAGCATGCCTGCAGGATTTGGAACTCCTGCCTCCTACAGTCTTCCTACTAGTTTTAGTGGCAACTTCCAGCAGCCCACGTTCCCAACGCAGGCAGCTTTCCCTCAACAGACTGCTTTTGCTCAGCAGCCAAATGGTAGGTCTGTAAGTTTTGGATAATCTTGTTTAAATTGGGAACATGGAGAAAATGATCTGTCTGTAAGTTCGCGGTAATGGGTGCATATTTATTTCTATTTGAACCTGATGGTAATATTGATGAGGGGTTCCCACTTTCTGTTTTGGCTCTGTAGTTGAGCTTTCTTGGCTGGGTGCAATGATGTAACTGAAATGTTACCATAATATAATACTAAAATTTTAAGTATTCCCAGGTTTAAAGCGTTTTTATCAAGAAGGATTGTTTTTTCTTCACTTCTGGAGTGTCTGCAGCAGATCATAACATTTTCTTTAACTTCATAGAACACAGGCAAGAGAAAATTGGAAAGTAATTTCTCCCTAGATTTAAATGATAAAATAACATTGAAAGAAGTCCATATGTAGAAATTGGAAATTGATTTGTTCCAAACAGTTGAAAACAAAAAGCCAAGCCATGTTTTTTTTGCATTTACATTCCTGACAGTGTTGAAGTAGGATGAGTCCTGCTGATGGTGGAGTTCCAGGCTTCCACTTATTTTTCTGTGCGAACTGTAGCAAAGAGCTCTTTGAAGATTGGTTACTAGTATTAATATTTTTTGCTTATCTTTCCAAGGAGCAGGTTTTGCTGCATTTGGACAGGCAAAGCCTGTAGTAACTCCTTTTGGACAAGTTGCAGCTGTTGGAGTATCTAGTAACCCTTTTATGGTAAGTTAGTTGTTGCACAATATCAGTAACACCTGTATATCTGAAGAGGCATAATTGGTAACACTTGATTTTAGAGACACAGGAAGATTTTTTTTTTTTGCTTCAAGTAAGGGAAGGCAGCATGAGAATCTCCTAAATGCAATTCGGTATTACAATGACATGGCATTTGTAAGGTTGTTCAAATCAAGAAGTACTCGTATACCATGCTCTTACAGTAGTGTAATTTCAGAGAACCACCAAAAAAAAAAAACCTGCAACATAAACCAGAAATATTTCCTAATAGGTTACTTTCTTTTCTATATATCCTGCATTTATGATTTACAATATGGAAAAAAAAATCTTAACTATTTTTCTTATTTTTCCTTTTTTTTCCCCCCTAGGCTGGTGCTCCAACAGGACAATTTCCAGCAGGAAGCTCATCAACCAATCCTTTCTTATAGCCTTATAGACACTTTACCCAAAAGAACTCTTATGTGGTCACATAACATCTCTGCGCCTCTTGCACTGTTGTCTTGTTTCACTGATATTAGCTTTAAACACAAAAGAAGTCTTTAAGAAGTAAAAATAAAAGCCTGCATTGTGTACCTTTAAAAAAAGTTTAAAAAAGAGAAGTAAATACACAAAACCCAAGAAAATCGACACCCCCACCAGGTAATAACGTGCAAAACAGAGGGCTGTGGTAACATCCTTGAACCTGTGAACTGGCAGGTAAAAAGTAGCGGTATCATGTATATTAAATTGGCTAATAAGTTATTGCAGATACCACATTCATTATGCTGCAGTACTGTACATATTTTTCTTAGAAAATAGCTATTTGTGCATATCAGTATTTGTAACTTTAACACATTGTTATGTGAAAAATGTTACTGGGAAATAGATCAGCCACTTTTAAGGTGCTGTTGTATCTCTTGGAATGAATGAGCTACATAATTTTAACTGTTGGTATTGGAAGTCATGAAGTTAAATTGAAGGTTTGTTCATTTCTCAAAATGTTTTCCTTTCCTAAGAGCTCTTCTATTTATACATGCCTAAATCTCTAATGTTAGAGGGATACCTGTCTGCATAATAAAGCTGATCATGTTTTGCTACAGTTTGCAGGTGAAAAAAATAAATATTAGAAAAAACAATTGTGTAGCATTATTTTGGTGCATTAATGTTTTATTGGGTTAAAATGTACATACTGTGAGTCTCACAGATGAGTTATCAAAAGCAATATGGTTAAAGGTGAGTTAAGCTTAAAATTTTCACATGCGTCACTTGGATAAGTTTCTGGGTGTCCTTGTGATTAAGCTTGGTGTTCTAGCTCAAGTGAAATGACCTATCAAACAAGAAAATGTTGAGTGAACTTGCATTATTTTGACAGAATAGCTGTGTAGTGAAGGACACTGGAAGTGGTGAGGAGGGTAGTTCCTCTAGAAATGGTTAGCTGGAAGAGACATGTAATTATGGGTAGCTAATGACAGTCTTTGAACAAGACTTATTTGTGATCAGAACAGTATGTGTAATAGCAGGCCAAGGTACCATAGATGTAATGGCTGTCTTTTTATTAAAAATTCATGTATATATTAATAAGGCCTCTTGTAGAACATTAAATCCATCAATTTTTTTTTTACTGGAATGTTTCCTGCCATACTAGAAATGAATTTGTAGGTGGCAAGGGGGAAGTCTGGCTTGTCTAGTCTGTAATAGTAAAAAGGTTCAAGAAAGATGTAACTCTGCGTCAAAGTAGTTGGTGATGGTGTTTTAAATGCAGAGATGACTTGGCTTCATTTCAAGTGTAGTACCGGAACTAAGCAAATGTAAATATATCATGAATACATAAATGCAGGCTTAAATGTTTCTGACCATATGGAGAATAAAATTCTAACAGTTTTCAAGGTAACAGGAGTAAATAAGATCAGATTGTTTTTTGAGAAAAGGATGTGCATGCCCATTTGAGACAAAGGAGAAAATTCTTGAAGGTAAGACATTTCACTTGTAACTGACTGCCTGAATGTTAATCTGTTTATTTCTAGGGGAGCTGAAAGACTGGACCACTGCTTGTAAAAACACTCTTTTTGCCAGTGCTTCTGACTTGTATTGCCTGCCTGTGGGGGGTAGTAATTTCTGTATATTAACCCTTTTTTTTTTTAAGCTTTGGAGATCCCAAAGCAGGGGACAGGCAGCTTATACAACAAGCTGCTTGTAGTAGCATTCCTTGCTTAAATGTCTGGTTTTGTCCTGTTGGCATATTTAAAGCTAAACTAGACTTGAAGTCTGTCTTTTCCTTCTGATGAGGACAGCTGGATAGAGTATGGTGTCTGGTTTAGTTCCCAAGATTCTCTGGGAGATGCACTAACAAATCCCCATCAATTGAGCCTTTCCAGGATGTTAGTGATGCCCTTGCTCTCGCTGCTGTTTTTTGACATAGTATAAATAGCTGTAGTTCTTCTCTGTTGTTGACCTTACCTGTTTTGGGACAGTAACGCATAAATGCAGTAGGGAGTGGGAAATGCAAGGGTTCAGAAGTACTTGTGGAACACTGAAATGTGCTTATTGCTGGGAACTGGGCCAAATCAACCATGTCTCGTCGATGCGATGAACAGCCTTGTGAAAGGGGAACAATCCTGTGCCCTCTTCACTTAAATTGATGTAAACTAAGCTTTGGGCAAGGGCTAATGAGGTCAGCATTGTTGAAATTGTTGTTCTGATCCAAATGAAGCTGGTTACTGCTAACAGATACTGAAATTCATTAAAGTATGCAGTGCATGTAGTTTTAGATTATGCTGAGAAATAGCGCAATACCTTATTTTTTCATAGCTAGCTTGAATGCAGAGAAAAGGTTGGCAACTCTTACTATACACAATCACAATCTGTTCAGTGTATGTCCACTAATTAAGTTTGTCAAGCTCCAGACAAGTAGCTGAAGATCTTGTATTGTTTTGTGTCCTTTATATTGAGCAGAAGCTGAAACCATAGCTATTTTGTTTAGATTTTTAAGATAGCAGTATTTACAGAATGAATTATTTGCCCATGATTATAAATGTTTTTGTGCACACAGTTGCTTATGCAACTAGCTTTAGATTCCCTAGAAATCTTTGAAGGTCTTATGTCTGTAACTAAATTGCCTGTAATTGAAATACTCAGTAGAAGTGCAAGTTCAAAGGTTGTGTTCTATAAGCTCTTCTGTCGTGAGGTTCAGGCATCTGTATGTACTGCTTGTTTTGCTCACTGAGTGTTAATAGATGTTTCTGTGTCAGATCACTAATCTGAGTTGAAATAGAAGATTGAGGATTCTTTGGTATTAAACTGCTGGTGAAGAAAATGGGCAAAATGCATCATCCTGTTGACAAAGCTCTTTATGTTGTAGGCTCATAAACAGCCTGTTTCACCATTGACCAGTCTTGCTTGATTGAGCATCGTGTTTCTTCTAATTCATCGTTCAGATGATGCAGCCTTCTGCACTGTTGCTTGCATCCATGCTTTTTTCTATATTGTTAATGACCAATGCTTTCACCAGCCACACTGATGTTTCTGCACTTGATAGAGATAATGGCGTATATGCTTCTGATCAGGAAAATTCCAGCTATGAATGTAAAGTAGCTGCCATAAATGAGAAACTGGGAAATGGAGGTGGGGGGGGAGGAGGAGGAGTTGTCAAAAAAAACCTGTTATTGTTGTTAGGGAATAATTTAACGGATTACCTTCCACTACCTTCCATACCACCTTCCCTTCCCTGTCACCAATGCCCCAAAATGATCCCATCTTGAAAGGATTCAGGAAGTTTGGCTGCTTGACTTCATAGGACTCTTTATCCAGGGAATGTAGTGACAGGACAAGAGCTAACAGTTTCAAACTGAAAGAGGGGAGATTTAGATAGGAGGAAGAAGCTCTTCTCTGCAGGAGTGGTGAGACACTGGCACAGGTTGCCCAGAGCACCTGTGGCTGCCCCCTCCCTGGCAGTGTTCAAGGCCAGGCTGTATGGGGCTGGGAGCAACCTGGTCTGGTGGAAGGTGTCCCTGACCATGGCAGCAGGAGTTGGAACTGGATGATCTTTAAAGGCCCTTCCAACCCAAACCATTCTATGATTCTATAAAGTCTGTGGTTGTAAAAAGAGGGGGAGAGAATACTGTTACGTGCTTCCCCTCCCCACCTCAGTAAGGGAGGAGGACAGCTGCCTTGCAGTTTCTGGCTCTTTGAAAAGATGAAAGCTACAGACTTGGACCTCATTCAGTATATAAATTTAAACTTAAAATTTTGAAATTTCATAGGAAATCATGAAATTGGTTAATTTCAGCATTACAGTACCTTAGGGGTGCATCCAGTGAAACTATGTAACTTAGCCTTACCCTAGTAAGAGACCCGTAGATCACCTTTAAGCCTGCTTCTGTTTAGAGTATTTTGACAATAAACTTGTGAATAGTAAACCTTTTAAATAAAAAATACCAGCACTGAGTAATAGTGATGGTCTTTCCCTTCTACTCTATTAAAATATTCCTAAAATTATTGCAGAAATACAAAACTGGCAGGACCAGAGGACAAGTAGCTTGTAGTAGCTACTGCCAGTTCACTTTAAATGAGCCTGTTTTTCAAGTGAGTAACTGTCCTGAGCTAGCACATTACCTACGGTCTTCCCAAAGAGTAGAGCTCTCTTTTGGAGGAGAGTAGGGGAACTGAGAGCAGTGTGAGTAATGTAGCTTACCTGCGTGCTGATATCCAGTCCTAGACCTTTTGAATCTACTACAACAACAGTTAAAATTGTCTGAATCACCAGTGCGACAAAGTTGTTGAAGCCAAACATCAAAGCATAACGCTCCATGCTTAGATTGACAGCGATCTGAAACCTGGAAATGAATGTACAGGTTAACAAGACTATAGAGAACAAGGATGTTTGCAATTTACTTATGGGAGGAAGTTTGGGAACAAATTAATGTGCACAGTGGATTCTTTGAAGGATGAAGCCTCTTCAGTCTTGGCTATTAAGCTGCAACAGCTTCATTTTGGCAGAAATCCCTTGTTTTTCTGGCTTTGGCACTTTTGTGCCTCCTACTTATCTTTTACTTGAGTGGATATTTCTCCTAAATAAGGACCTGTGTATGTTCATTTGATCATTTAGAGAATACTTGTACATGGATCACTGAACAGCTAAATGCAGAATAATGTAGTTTCTGACTTGGAGTAACCTATTGTAATGGTCCAGTGATAGAATTTTAAGCATAGTTTTATATAAGCTAGAAATAATATGTGCTGCTGTCCTGAACAATTTTTAAAATAAATCTTATTTCTAGGGAAGCTTTCAGTAAAACTTCGATAAATTTAAAAATGTGACACTTAATTATTTAAATCAATTTAATTAGAAGAGTTGTGTATTATACTTACGTTGCTATTGTTATAAGGAGCATATAGCATGCTTTAAACGCAAGGTAACCAGCATAACATGCCCAGATGTTGTCAGTAAAGTGCATGAGAAACAGAGAACCAGCATCCATTGCAGAGAAAATTCCCAGAGCCAGTTCTCCAGAAACATCCCAGTTTACTTTGACATATCCAACTGCCATGGATGTTGCTGAACCTAAAAATTTAAAAGTGATTGAAACTCTGAATCATTCTCATCCTTCTAGAGCCATTGCGTAACTGTAAATGGAGCATGTCAGGAGCTATTGAGACTGTTGGTCACAATGGGCTTGGGTAACAGTGTGGCTTACGCTTTCTGTTGGTGGTGTTGGGAGTCTTGTGTTTGTTTGGGGTTTTTCTCCTGGCTTACTGAAGTACTCTGAGACAGTGCCTCATGCCTAAGGCTGGAGGCGGCAGTATACAGTCTGTTACTCCATTTTTTGACAACTGTGAGCAAAGAGAAGAAAATCCCACCAAACATTTTCTGCCAAATAGGCATAAAAGAGTTTTAATTCCTTCATGTAAAGATCTTTATGAAATGAAAATCTGTTGCACTCCTTCATGCTTTTTTTTTTATGAAAGCATCTTTTCAGTTTCTGGTGAAAATTCTTATGCACTGCACTCATCAGTACCTTATTGACCATCACTTACAGTGAAAACTCTTCCTTGAGCGTAATATGGTATAACAGTGCCTTGATTTTGTTTTTTTTAATCTCCACAATAATGATGAGGTTTACTTTCCTCCCCATCT